CAGAGCTACTAATTTATGTATTCGGTTGCGGAAAATGGGAGCTTTTTAAACAATTAAATAAAATTTTGAGAAAATATATACATTTGAATATATTTACCATTACAATATTTAACTTAAACATCTTAGTTCGAGACTACCTGCAAGCGCTAAATGGGTCACTACCACGGATTTTTATCATCAATACGCATAAGCTGTCTAATGTAGGATAAAGTTTTTGTTTTACTATAGTTTTAAACCTCGCAAATGACAAATTTTGAATATCAATCGGAATCTTATTTTAGAAGCAAAAGAATGTACAATTAATATGCTTCGAACAAGTATTCCCTCATTTTATGCGAAAAACGCATTTTTCTAGAAACCCTTGATCATATACCTATAATAGATAACGCTAACAAAAAAAAAGCCGCGGCAGCCTAATGATTTGACGTACTGCCTCTCAAGCAGAAACCGTGGATTCGAATCCGAATTCGCACTTCTGAGTTTCTTCGAATTTATGTGCGAAATTTAATCTGAAATTTACCATGAGCTTTTCGGTGAAGGAAAATATCGTGATGAAACCTTCACGTCGAAGAAAGTTCATAACCCTCGGATTTTTTTTTTAATAATAATAATAACGCACACATTCAAAATAGCCCCGCACTAGGGAAATCCTGTGTCGCGAGTGCCATGGACACACACATAGACAACGACAAATTACACCCAAACTCACGAGAGAAATAAATGTAGGTCATACAAATACTTCTCCCGGCCCGGGAATCGAACCTGGGACCTCTGCGTGGCAGTCCGGCATGGTAACCGTTAGGCCACAGAGGCAGTCAATGTATGAAGTCTGCAACCCGCAATGGATCAGCGTAGCGGACTGTACCCAGTAGTGGAGCGTATGAACGGGTTGATGATGATTTTCATCATAATGTATGACATTTACGTGATCATATTGTCTGGGTGTGAACTACCTACTTCACATATTATGTACATTTTGACGTTCACGGGGTATTACGATGCTAAATAAAAGCTTCAGTTTGCCAAAAAAGACAGCAAAGAAGAGCCTATAGTTTGTCTTTTTTGACGGGGTAAAATAACATTTGCTAGGTAGCCAGTTTTCATGAAATTTTAAATAGTCATGTAGTTGTTGTCGACAGTTTTATCGATAGATTGTAAAAGGGGGTTAAATTTTGCCAAACATGTCTGAATTGTGAATGTTACATCGATGTAATGATTACTAAAATTGCGTTATTGCCTTCTTCATTCTTATTTTGACAGTTGGCTGACTGCTATCGAAATCAATTTATATACATTTTAAAAGGACCAGGCGGATTTGAATATCTTTGTTGAATTAATAAAAACTTTAAAATGTGTCTCCTCTTTATTTTTTATTTTTTTTATTTATTTATTTATATCAGGTAACAAAGACCCATGTATACATACCTTATAGACTAACATACATAACAATATAAAAACAAAATACACCTATATTATATATACCTTAAAACAAACATACATACAATATAATAATAAAAACTAATCTACACGATTTCCCTTATCGGCGACGTGTGGCGCAATCTGATGTCAGGTAACCGGCCGCGGAATCGCCGATATATGACACCCTTCGGCCAAAATTCCTCTTTCATGAAGGTCGAAAGATGTTCGGTCGGTATTCTCACCACAAACGAATTGAAGTTCACGTTGCGGCGAGACTCCAACCGCTCGACCCTCAGGGTGTATTTGGTTTTATGCCTGATATACTCCACTATCTCCTCAGACTTCATGGAGTATATTTTTAGTAGATATAATTCCATTAGCATCGTATGGGCTGAGGATGATTGAAGTGAAATAAGTTCGGCTATTTATTGCACAAGCGTGACTAACATTCAGTCGGAAGCTGCTTGCAAGCGGGCAGCACTTTTACGAAATGAATTGTCATTTTACTCCATCTTCAAAAAAGATTGATTGTACAGATTCCGTATGCTGCAGCTGTTTTTTTTTTCAAAAACAACTATGGCTATTGACTTGATGTTCAGTGTAGTGTTACAAGTTTTAGGTAAAATAATTTTGGAAATGTGCATTAGAAAGTTACAAACACATGTAAAAAAAATCTTTCCTCTTTTTCACCGAACTGTCTTTTAGTTTAAATTTTATTTTAATTCCCATATCGTAAAATACATGCCGTAACATCTACAGACGAGTAGATCTGTAACATTGATGTATGTTGTATTCTATTCTATTATTAGTTTTTTTTTTGGGTCGAGTACGATTTGTATTTATATGTAGTGTGTTTGTTTACATATACAACATTCAACGACTATGAGACACGGAGGGAATGTACTTTAAATATTGTTGATAGGATATTTTCCTCGAATTTAATTTGTTCCCGTACGGTTCATTTTGCTTGGATCAACCGGCACTGGTTTTATTTCAGAATGAATTCTTTTAACCGACTTCCAAAAAGGAGGAGGTTTTCAATTCGACTGTATGTTTATTTTTATTTTTTTTTGTATGTTACGCGATAACTCCGGTATTTGTGAACCGATTTTTATGATTCTTTTTTTGCTGGAAAGGGGGCACTTCCATAGTGGTCCCATTTAATTTTGAAGGAAATCATCCACCTCTAAGGGTGGCTGTTCACGCATGAAAATTCATTATTATAAATAGCGCCTAAATTTTCTTAAGGAGCAATTATTTTAATGGTTGATTTTGCTATTTCTTCAATTCAAGGCGTTTTTTACAAATCAAATCAAAGTCATTTGAAAAATTGTGCATAGTATCTATACCACATGTGTTCCATTTAGTTCAGATGATATGAAAGGAAAACATTGGTGTATATAAGTACCTATCGAATAAAGCGGTTTTCTTGTAAAATTTCGATGTAAGTTTGTATTTTTTTCTGTCGGGAAAATTTTTAGGAATTGTGTTTTCATACCGTCCTCGTTTCATATTTTTTCCAAAGTTTATATAACCAAAGCCATTTGAGGTTGTACTTATAGAGAATCTTGAGCCTACGTTTTAGGAGATGAGGTGTGGGGGACAGCGCCTCACGTCCGCGCACTGAAAATTAATATGTATGAAATAAGAAAATTCGATGTAGGTCCGACGGCAACAAGCGCCCGGTGGCGACTGACGGGGCAGCGGGCGCCGCGGCGCGTAGTTAAACCGATAAATGTGAATTGAATAGGGCTTTAGTTGAAATTTAGCAAGTTCTCTGTAGTACCTAAAGATAAATATCTCCATTTAAAATTATGTGCAAAATTAGATATTTCGTTCTTAAATTCGTTTCAGACTTATTTTAGTTTGTTTTCAGGATTTCATATGATGGAGTGAAGTATATTTCATTGTGTAACAAATTAACACATTCTTTAGACAATACCCTTAGGTGTATCGTATATTTTTTCTAAGACCGTCATTTAATAGTAAATACCTAAACCATTTGATCTTCTCCGGTGACTCGCCTTAAAAGTAAATGACGCGGCATCCAAAGTTTTTTTTAAAGTAGCTTGTCTCATCAGAATCAATCCTGTTATAATTTGACGAAACCTAGTGCTGATCTTTAGGTTGCAAATTTGATTATTTCACTTGTAAAGTGTATGTATGTGTAAAAATTTTAGTGGTGTTGTAGAAGTTGGTGCATTTTGAAGATCCCGTAATCTAATTGATTAGTCCTTATGACCCTTTTTTATCGTTATAATTCAAATAACTGCTTTCGTACCACGAAGAGGTGCCGGATGCAATTCCCGGGCCGTAAGAAATATTTGTATGGGCTACATTTATTTATCTCATGAGTTTGGATGTAATTTGTGCTTAGCTGTGTGTGCATAGTCCCTCACTAGGGAAAACCTGTATCGCGGGTGTCACGGACACACACATATTCAACTACGTGGGTTGTTGTATTTGTTACATAAGTACAAAATATACTTACTAGAAGTTGCCACACTGCTGTACAATTTGTTGGTGTGTGTACACTTTAACCGACTTCAAAAAAAGGAGGTGGTTCTCAATTCGATTGAACGTTTTTTGTATATATGTTACGCAATAACTACGCATTTGTGAACCGATTTTGATGATTCTTTTTTGTTGGAAAGAGGATAACCTCAGTAATGATCGCATTTACTCCATTGGTCCCAGTTGACATGGCCATGGGACCTGTAAAGAGCCCGAAACGTTGGTTTGTTTGAAAAAACAAATATACGCGATTTGAATCCGGAAAAATAGTTTCATATCCTATGTGTAACAATCGCGAAAACCTAAGAACTCGACAAATACTTTAAGTGCCAGTATATCTAAAGGTACCAAAATGCAAGTGCGTTGTTTATGACAAGGTACCATAGCAGTAATTGTAGTGCTACTCAGAGCTTTAAATTACAACGATGGGCTTTACCATTACCTCCGTACTCTGAGACATAAAGTTGACAAGTCCAGTAGAAGTACGACAGCTAATGCAAACGAGGCGTGAGTTTTAGTGAATGGAACTTGGCACGTCTCCACTTCTACCTACTCGCACATTTGCGTTCCCGGCACACAACAGACCTATCGTAATTTATTATAAACAATTATATAAAATCTCTTCACACTTTTATTTGGAATGACCTTTCTTTGTTTTATGATACCAAGTGCAGGAAAGAACTGAGGGGCACTGCCATTGCGCCCGTCATCTTGAGACACAAGTTGACAAGTCCCATGTGCCTGTTATTTCACCACCACACTTACCCTTCAAAACGAAATGCAGTAATGCTCACAGAAGACTCAAAGAAAGAAGACCAGCGCGAGCGATGCAAACGCGTTACAGTCGCTAGTCTACCTTACTGCTTGGCATTAGACATGGGTAAGGTGGTATGACTTCCCTGGACGAACTCTTCATTTCGTACGTCATCTTTAACAGCTGATAAACTCAAATTAAGTGTGTATGTGTGTGCGTGCTTAAGTATGTCCAAATTCTCCGAAAGTGTGTAACTTTAAATCGAACTTAAGTTATCTTTAATCTCGGCAATGAAGGAGATGTAATAATATACCTTGTTCTCTGGCTCTCCCTCTTCAGGCACGACGCTGAGGTCGTTAAAGGCGACCCGTGCGCAACTGTCGATGCTGGCACACTCCGGGCACTCGCTGCAGACCGACCCGCTGTCCTGTCGAATAGTTCGTTCTTACTACACACTCTTTAATTGTCAAGCTGTTTAAACGTATTAAGAGTCGACAGAACCTCAAATGGCTTTGGAAAAAATATATAGGTAGTTAAAGTGAGGATATTCATTGATTAGTATCTATGCGGTGGAGTGAAAACACGACTCCGAAAAATTTTCACGATAGAAAAAAAAACACTAACTTACTTCGAAATTTAACAAGAAAACCGTTGTATTTAATAGGTATTTTACATATACCAACGATTTTTTTTATATCAACTGAACCAAATAGTATACGATATACTGAAAAATGTATATGTCTGTAATGGCTTTAATATCTTTTGTAAAAAAAATTATTCTGAAATAAGGCTAGCGTCCCTGCCGCTCGACCCGCGCAATAGAACCGATACAGTACGCGCAAAGTTTAAATTCGTTCTGAAGTAGTAGATGTATTATAATTATTAATACAAAGACGAACACTTACAAAAATTTCTTCGATCCAGCTATAATCGAAACAGCGCGTTCAGGCAACCAGTGGGAGACGCTCTCCCAACTGAACTACGGAACGAATTATTAGACCTTATGAATTTTTCTATGTTCTTGTTGCAGATTTTTGTTTTTGGTTTTTAACGACTTTTTGCCATAGCTCTATCTGGCACGGATTGCCTGAAAGCGCTGGTTTGAATCCAGCAGGATCGAAGAAATTTTTCTTAGTGTGCGAACTTTAAACTAGTGGAGTAACTAATTTCACAAAAAAAAATTAATATTACTTACTTTTAGTAAAAACTTCTTTAGACCAAATAATCAATGAAGATTTATTTTTAAATTATTTTATGTTTAAGGCAGGTTGTTAATCCATCAGCAAACAATAAAATCATTAATAATGTAATATATCATTCTATGAAATATCACAGATTTCTCGTAGATGGCGGTATGGCTAAAAAGTCGTTGAAAAAGCAAATACAAAGATATGACGCAAGCACATAGAAAAATTCGTGAGGTCCGCTGGTTCGTTCCGTGGCTTAGTTGGTATAGCGTCTGACACGGTATGCTAGAAGACGTCGGTTCGAATCCGACCGGATCGAAGGAATTTTTTCTGAGTGTTCGATCTTTGTATTAATAATTATAACAAAAGTGGGTAATCTCACATAAAAATATTTTTTTTTATTAACGCACACTCTCAACGTAGCCCCGCACTAGGGAAACCCTGTGTCGCGGGTGCCATGGACACACACATAGACAAACACAAATTACACCCAAACTCACGAAAGAAATAAATGTAGGCCATACAAATAGTTCTCCCGGCCCGGGAATCGAACCTGGGACCTCTGCGTGGTAGTCATGGTAACCGTTCGGCCACGAAGACAGTTGTTTCTTACCTTTGTTTCTTTGCAATTGAATATCTGTTCAATAAAAATTTTAATATAACCATTTTTATGTATTTTAAATAGAGTTTTTAAGTTTCTCGCGATTGTTACACATTGGACACGAAACTATCTTTTTTATATTTGTTTTTTCAAGCGTTTCCAAATGTTCAAACGTCATGGCTGACTGAGACGGTAATGTCATCAACCAGTTGTTTCTAAATATGAATGCTGAACCATCCTATTTTTCACTATAGTTTAAGTCAATGCTATAGTTATATTAACTTCTCGTCTGCACCACGGTCACGGATGTTTATAAAACAAATTCGCGATTTAGATCTGAAAAAATTGTTTAATTTTTATATTATTTTATTAACTGCCTCTGTGGCCGAAAGGTTACCATGCCGGACTGCCCTCTGCGTGGCAGCGTGCGTCTCAGGTTCGATTTCCGGGTCGGGAGAAATATTTATATGGCCTACATTTATTTCCCTCGTGAGTTTGGGTGTAATTTGTGGTTGTTTATGTGTGTTACCCGCGATACAGGGCTTCCCTAGTGCGGGGCTATGTTGAGTGTGTGCGTTATTATTATTATTATTGAGTAGTAGTAGTTATTTTTCTTTCCCATATTCCTTAAGAAGCTTAAAACATTGCAAAAGCATAGTCAGTCGTGACTAAGGGACCTGTAAAGGTCCCGCAACGTTGGTTTCTTTCAAAAAACAAATATATACACAATTTAAAATTTACTAATATTGCAGAATTCTATAATTTATTATTAAAATTTCAAAATCTTTTGATAATTTACAACTGTACGTACGTCCAGGTCTTCTGGAGACGATCGTCTCTCGCGCAGCATTCTGTCCAGCCGGTCATACTCGTAGCGCAGCGCCGATATTTCTCTTTTTAACTGCTCGTTCTCCCGTTTTAGCTTCTTTATATCCGATTGTCCTGTGTACAATAGACCACATCACATGTGTAACGGAAGTACGTGAGCCGTTATATCATTGGTCACTATGCAGTCACGTTTCGCTAGCTGTTACGTCCCTTCCACCGCCCGTGTCAGTGTCTCCTTTGGCCAAAATGTGATAGAACAGTGACCGTGCCGATTTGCATAATTAGTATTTGATTCCTTGCGTTTGTGTTTAGAATGCATTTACTTACATATACTTCACGCCCTTTTCCCATCGGGGTAAGCTGAGATAACCTACTGTAACAGCTTTTCACTTTTTACGATCCTACGGGTGCTGCCTCAGCATCCTCAGATGTTTGTTTTACCTACATTAGTTAGAGTTTGTACCTTGCGTAACTTTATTTATTAAATGGTAGAATTGCAACTTTTAACACCTTCGTTGTTACTTTAATTAGTATATAAGCTTCATTGTAGTTAATACTCTAGGTTCTTCTTGAACCAGACTTCAGACTATACAATAAACTACTACTACAGTTTTTTACTTGTCCTTAAGTTACGCGTGTAATTAAATGCGCCTGTGTAATCAATCATATCTCACGAAAAGCTCGCGTCACGCGACCGACGCGTGAGCTGCACGCGAACAGACCGCACTACTTGTGTGCAGGTGTGCAGCTCGCGAACCTTTCGTGAACAGGCGCATTCATCTGATTTGTACACACCCATAAGCCGGGTACTCACAAGCGAGCTGTAACCGTTGCATGTTATGTTACCAAAAATCATAGTGGGTACGTGGTTCGCGAGCGTGCTGCGAGCGGAGCGCGCGCGGTACGCAATGAGCCGACGACAACCAGATGCTCGTTTTAGCGCATAAAGATTGTTTCACGCGTATACACCAGAGCCTCGTTACTGCATCTGTCACGTTACAGTTACTACTCGCTAATAAGTACCCGACTTTACATACTTTCGCGGGCTTCATAGATGCTTTTCAGTTAAGGATACTCTTCACCTGAGCTTTCTTTGATCTTTTTACTTGATCTTTTTAGGACGTCCTAGACACTAATTCCATCATGGTAGAAATTACACCTTAGTAGGTATGAACACTCATAACTACTAAGGTGTAATTTCTACCTGAATGATTTGTTGTAGCAGTAGCGTAGTTCGTCCAGGGAGTGCTGTTATCTTATCTATTTTTGCCACCAAGCAGAGATGCTGTAAGGGTGCTGCTGAAATAACAGGTACATGAGACTTTTCAACTTATGTCTCAGGGTGACAGGCGTGACACTGACCATCAAGTGCACGACTTGTTCGTATCATAAAAAAAGATTTATTTTATTCAAAAATTCGTATAAAACTTTATATAAGCTCTAAAATATGATATTTTCTATAAACATTATCAAGCCCAAGAAACCAGCTTCTCGGGTTCTTAAAGCGAAATCACAGAAGTTTACCGTTCAGAAAAATGCCTTTACCCACCTCGTTCAACTTCGGCGTTGATATTGATTGTACGCAACCGTAGTTCTTCGTTCTCGTAGAGCATGCCACGAGAAGATTTCCGATCCAACCTGTGTACAGGTACAATCAAAGTAAGTACTTAGATTATCATATTCATTTACAAGATTTTGTTTAAAGAAGATTAGTCCCTTATTCAAGAGAGGCCTATGAGCCCTATAGGCCTATAGGTATATATATACATATATATAGATATAGATATATAGAGAGAGATACTAGATATCAGTAAAGGACGAATGCCGAAAGTCAGTACAACATATATACAAACGGCACTGGAACAGGTCTCAACTTCTTTCATACCTGCATTTAAAATTACTTATTATAATTTATTTATTATTCTCGGTTTATCAGAACCATCCATACAGCCTACATAGACATCTATACAGCCTATATATATATATATATATATATACACATCTTTGTACTGACTTTCGGCATTTGTCCTTTACTGATATCTAGTGTGACATTTTTGACCAATGGCTCAGATGGTTCGACGAAAATTTTTCTATGTCTTCCATCTTTGTATGTATAATTGTTGTTAGTCTGATAAATAATTATCAGCAGGGAATGTCCATGTATATGTATGTGTATGTAGAGGTTTCGTCCTTTTCATTAGCACTAGGTTCCACGACATTCCCGAAATCGTACCTTTATTCACCTTTTTTATTTAAGTAAATGTGTTTATGAATAAATGTCTTATTATTTACCTCCTGTTGGGTTTGACGTTGACATCTCGTCTGCGTGTGCGCAGCATACTCGCCCCTGTCATGCCCGACATTGCTTTGCTCAACCGCCATGCGTCCACGAAACTCTGCAACAAAATATTTTGAATTTTATTGACGTGCATGGCATTGATGACCTCAACCACGTGGTCTGTGACCTCAACTAATAAGTAGTTGCTGCACTAATTCTGGACTTTACTGGACGTGCCCCTTCAAATGTAGTTTTTGCCATATTTCGAATCCATGGTGTAATAAAGCCACTATATAATGATCGAACGTCAAAAGTACTTTTATCATTTGAAAGTTATAAAAATAATACGAATTACATGAAACAAATTATTTATACGTGAAATCTTATAACTCTCCTATTTAAGGATAAAAGTTATGGACGAATTTTGTTCGTAAAATTTTTAAACCTTTCTTGAAAAGTTTTTATTTTGCAGATGTGGCCTTATTACCTACACCAAGGGTGCGTCATACAAATCTGCATCATACACAATGACAATGCTATTGTTCTTATAATTTTATCGTAACACCTTAATCACATTTTATGGCACCCTACGGGTGATTCTACTAGCAACATGGGACGATACGCCGTCGATCTTAACTAACAATAGAACTGACGTAGCACTAAAATTAATTTGAACATTAATAAGGATTCTCTGTCCTACCTAGCTAGCAGTCTTAACGCGATTAATGCGAGATGCTGACTGACTAGAGCCTAGAGCTTAAGAGTGTGCCCACCCACCTTGATGTGATGACCCTTTAGGCGGATCATGCGCAGTATCGCGCTGACGCGAAGTGTCTATAAAGTAGATGCAACATACTGGATGAAAAACGCATATTATTATTAATTCGCACCGTTGCTGTAATAAGGCCACATCTGTGAAATAACTTTTCAGAGGTGTAAACGTTCTACAAACGAAATGAGCAGAAGACTTTTTAGGATTAAATAGGAGATTGTACAATTTCACATTTACATATAAACATAATTTTTGTTTTATGTAGTTTGTATCATTTTTTTTAACTCATTTGATAAAAATACTTATCACGTATGATCGCGTGTGGCTTATTAACCAACCAAATTGAGAGAAAACGGTTAATAAAGCGTGGTCATTATTTACGTCTGACTGTCGACTTTGAATTTTGATTTCTGCTTTCTATCATTTTATTTAATTATTTAGGAAATGAAGGATCCCATGGTCCCGGTTGACAGTCAATCAACCGTGACCATGGGACCCGTAAAGGGACCGAAACGTTGGTTTGTTTGAAAAAACAAATATACGCGATTTAAATCCGGAGAAATTGTTTCATTTCCCATGTGTAACAGTCGCGAAAACCTAAGAACTCGATATTTAATTATTGTTATATCACGAAGCGAGACGACTTGTCGATATCATTTATAACATAGGCACAGATTTTTTTTATGATACCAAGTGGCGGGACGAATAATTCGTGGGCCTGGTGGTTAGCGACACGCCTGTCCATAGCAGTTGCAGTGCCACTCAGAGCTTTAAATCGCAAAGATAAGAGGGATATTACCTATGCGCTCGTCAGCCTGAGACATAAGTTGGGACTTGTGTCCCATGTGCCTGTAATTTCACCAGCCCCCTTACCCTTCAAAACCAGAACTCAGTAATGCTCACATTACTGCTTGGCGACAGAAATAGGTAAGGTGGCAGTGGCAGTACTTACCTGGACGAACTCTTTCACAAGGAGCTCTAATGCTATGCTAAAAATACATCGATTTTTTCAAAATATTCACTATGAACACGTATACACTTTTCCATTCGTCCAAACCACTTGGAATATATCGATGACCACTCTTCTTTAGACATCGCGGAAATCTCCAAGTTATAAGTAGCCAAGGCAGCTTCTTTGCTTTCAAACCGCTTGCCTTTTAATTTTTCTTAAATTTTTGGAAAGAGGTAAAAATCACAAGGTGCTAAGTCAGGGCAATATGGCGGGTGCCGCAGGATAGGTACATATTTTGAATGAAAGTAGTCGAGCGTTCTAGCAGAAGTGTGCTTATCGGCGTTGTGTTATGCCAGAGGAGGTGCCGGAATCCTGACTTCGGCGCTTGTCACACCAACACTTTTGGGGCACAAACTGTTATATACCATTCGGAGTTAACTGTCCTTTGATCCTCTAGCACTACAGTAGCAATATGTCCCGTCATGCAGAAAAATGAGGCGACTATTTGTTTCTGTGTATTTTGTGTACGACATTTCATTGGCGTCGGCTCATCTTCAAAGCACCATACAGTGGACTGTCGCTTTGTTTCAGGATCACAGTTATATAACCATGTTTCGTCAGTTGTCAGTATATCATAAACCTTCGGCGGTTTTCACGAATTACTTTTTCGACAGCTTGTACATTTTCTTGAGTAACCGCTGTTGGCGGCCGACCTGACTTTGCCTCATCTTCAAAGCTTCCCCGTCGACTTTTAAATTCAGCAAACCAATTGAGAACTGTAGCTTGTGAATAAGCAGTATCACCAAAAGTTGTGGCTAAAATTTCAAAACAGTCTTGCAGATTTAAACCTGTTTTGTAGTCATAACAAATCATAACAGAAAATCACGTCGAGAGAGCTCCATTGTTGCGAACAAAATTCCCGCCAGATTGTCTCCGAAAAATAACAAATTAAATAAAAAAAGAATTCGATTTGACGTGTTCCATTTTAAAATTTATTAGTAAATAACCTGCCTTTACGACGGTGATGAAAGAGTATCTAAGTTCTTTTGGCATGACCCCCGTATTTGATTTTCCAGCGTTTTCAGACTTGTGTGTTTTCCGTACTGTTACCCTCAAAATGAGATTCCTCTGAAATGCGGATGGTTTTAAAAATGTCAATGATACTCCAATTAGAGATAAAATATTCTGAGTACAGATCAGCTGGCCTCAATGTGGGTTTGATACTTCAGTGTTCTCTGGCTAGCAGATTTACTTGTTAATAAATTTATTAAAAATAACGCGTAAGGCTTAGAATAATAACGCATAGAACCATTGACTTACAAATAAATGGACGACGGGTCTAATACAAAAACCACGAAAAAAATGTCCCAAGTCAACCTATTCGAAATTTAAATTGTAATGTCATCGCAGTATCGCGCTGTCAGTAGAACAAATGAAGACTAAAGCGGAGTTTGGCGCTCTGTATACGATTATACCGCCTTACAAGTGCGGACACTTTTTAGCGCGGACCCGACGTCTATATAATTGTAAGTCAATGCATAGAACGATAGTTTCATAAAAAACGAACTGTCACAAGTGAGGCAAAAATCAAATTCATGTAGGCGTAAGCAACTTGTATTTACGCTCGTAGGCACGCACACAAATATACAAATTTTTTTTTTTATTATTTTTTTTTATAATAATAATAACGCACACACTCAACATAGCCCCGCACTAGGGAAACCCTGTGTCGCGGGTGCCATGGACACATACATAGACAAACACAAATTACACCCAAACTCACGAGAGAAATAAATGTAGGCCTTACAAATATTTCTCCCGGCCCGGGAATCGAACCTAGGACCTCTGCGTGGCAGTCCGGCATGGTAACCGTTCGGCCACGGAGGTAGTTGCATTATGATGCCATGGAATAACATTTCCCTCAAAAGTGGGGAAATTGTATCTTGCTTAACTCATCGTTAAGTTAGAGGTGCCTACAGATTTGCTCGATTTTGTCGATCGTTACTGTCGATCAGGTACCTACAGATATGCTCGATTTTGTCGATCGTTACTGTTGATCGACAACGTCAAGTGACAGGAATTTTCAAAAATTTATTTTTGGTAATCCTTATGGAAATGGCATTTACATCTGAACTCACGAAGGCGGACACGACTTTACTCATTTCTAAATCCAAGATGGCGGACACGTCTTTTCGAATAAATGCAATATGGGAATCGTTTTCGAGGTATTCGAGGTGCTCATCACGAATATGGCATTTATTT